GACATTCACGTTCTCGCTAGTATGAGCAGCTGTACAATTGAACAGAAAGTGTTACTTCCCTTGAAAGAAGCTGGTAGAAGGGATTTTGGTATTTGAATTTGTAGAGTAGACTTCAGTAGTAGGCAAACTTGATGAAATAATGATAAATATGAGAATATTTAATCAGGTTAGGAACAATCTAACAGAGCTTCATGATAGAAAAATCATGCCACTCTGGTCTTTCACCATGCACATTATAGATTGTGTATGAATTGGCGCGTACAATTTGTACTCTTATGATACAAAAAGAATAAAGTGAAAGGCAGTAAATTGAAATTATTTGTAATGATTTGCATACGTAGGTGATAGAGCTCATACAATGGAAGTCTAAAACGCTATAGGGTTAAAGACAGAATGAGGCATTTGTATGCATGACATAATAGACAGTTCATTTCGATTGCTTTCCATGGCAGACAGCATAGGAGACCTGCTGTTGTTCAGAGTTGTACTTTTCTTCAGAATCACGCTGAGATATTCTGATACTGCCCTGGGGCTTTGCAAAATCACATGTGAACGTAGCTTCAGTAGTGTGCTTGCTGTCATCTTGATTCTTCAGTCCTGGGGAGGGATGGGGGTACCGCTTGACTGGGTATTCATGTTGTACTTGTTACTTACTTAAGGCTTCTGGAAGGGGAAAATATGGAAGGGGACTAAGCCCCTTTTCTGGTTTGGCTCTTGCATATCATCAGAGAATTGGGCAACTTTTTTTCACAAATGTGTTGATTTTGGTATGGGCAGAGCGTTAGTGAAAGATAAATTCTGGCTCATAACCAAAATGCTGTATAGGCAAAAATTAATTTAACATTGAGGACCACCTTTTTCTTCTTTCTTCTGTTTTGGGGGGACACAAAAATGTGAACTCTGCAGAGGGCTGATAAATGTGGTATTCTTTAAAACACGCACAACTTCAGTCTAGTAAAACATCAAATGAAGAGATTCTGTCTTATCTTTTTCTAATTTAATTCATTGTTTTCTGTTCCTTTCATTCAATGAGTAGCAGCTTTTGGCAATGACAGATGCTCTATTGTGACTGAGATATGCATTTTGTAAGTCATAACTTTACTTGGTATTTAAATAAACTGTGTATGTACGGCGTGCAAGATTTATGCAGAACACAGCTGGAGGTATTCTGCTCAGAATTCCTATGGTTTAAAATGTCTCTTTCAAGTTGGAAAATATGTTGTGAAGTTGATACCATTATGATAATTGGAAGTTCAGCTTCTCTGTCTTGCTCTATTATTTTTTTTTGAATACAATTAACACATCACACACACTTCACCTGGTCTCTCCTCATTTACCTCTGACACTTCCTTGATATTTATTTAGACACATGTGGTGTCTTTGCTTTGAACTCAATAGTTGGTATATTCACTAGATTTTTTTTTTTTCATAAACATTTTTCTCGTTTAGAGATACACAATTAGTTTGCATTGTTAGAGAAAAGTATACATATTGATGTCAATTTAAATCTTTTACTTATTTGTTAGTTGATCAGGACATAAATTGTATAAAGACTGTAGAGAATACTGTGAACACTCTCAGATGAAAATACCTGCTGAGAAGTTGTAGAAGCAGCTCATTTTATTACACTTCTCACTAAGGAGCAGTACAGAGAAGATAAGCAAAAAGCTATCTAGAGAAAAATAAAAAAATAAATTATGAATAATACATTTAGTTTGAAATTGTATTTTCTTTAAGGTAGCATAAACATGAAGGACAGACTTCAGTGTTTTGTTTGAATTAAGCCTTATTCTTTCAGATTTAGCAGCAATGCTTTTGTTTATGAAAACAAAAGAAAGACAGTAAGTTTGTTTTAAAAATAAAACCAAGTTCTTAAACTGGACTTAATAAAATACTGTTGGCATAGTTTTTTATATTTTAAATAATGTATGTGGTATGCTGTGTTATGTAACATGGATAAAACTGTTAGGAACATAACGTCAGTATCCTTCAGAAGACAACTAGAAATTCTATGAAATAGTTTTTATCATTTTGAAGAGAAGGTATCTGACAGATCAAATTGTAGTGATGCCACTGGAGGAAAGAACATGAAAATATCAGAATTCTGTACTTTGTTTGTGGAAATTAGGTATGGAGGTTTTTTCCTTTTCCTATTTTATTTTAGTTTTAGGAACATTCCTAAGCCTTGGAGGTTTAGTGAGGAATAAATCCAAAATCCAGTCTAAGCTTGATCCTCACGATAAAGCAGGAAATTATTCTGGATTATTTCATTAATTTTAGCTTCAGTTTGGAATGAGCTGGGGCTGTGGTTTTGTGGAGTTCCTGTTCACTGTCCATTCCTGTGACAGCTATTTTCCATAATATTTCCAGTAGGTGTATTACTGAAGGTGTATGATATTTGTAAATTAGTTTATTACAGGAAAAAGGTGTCATCTACTGAATGAGAATTCATTTTCTTTGTTTTAAAATTGAATTGATCAGCTTTTCAGGTCCAAGGCTCCAAGGTTTTCATATGAAAGTTGAAAGCTGTTTAGAAAAAAAGGGAAAGTAAGCTGTGCCCTTGAAAGAGTTTTATATAAAGCATTATTTTTCTTCTTATGAAAGGTTTGTCTCTGAGTTCTCATGCATTGCAGAGAGTCTTCCTTGTTTCCTGCAGTACCAGTTGGTTGTGAAATGGAAATCCACACAATGCAAAGGGTTCTGAAACATTGTCCGCAACGAAGGAAGTGTGGTTGTGACAAAACACAAAAATGAGGTGTGTTTGGTTGCTTCACCGTAGTCATCACCATGGAGAGATCCATTGTTCTACAGTTGCATCTTTGCTGGGTTGCTTAGGGAAGGGCATGATGCAGAAACCATTAGAACAGGGCATTTATAAAGGAGACCTATATCACAATAATGCAAAAGGAAATCAGTGTTTTCTTTTGAGATGCCTTTGACTTGGACTTCCAGTTTTCAAAATGCACATTTAAAATTATCTCTATATAAAACTGCTTGGAAGACTGTCTTTTTTAATTTCTTTTTTTTTTAATGAAATCATTCTGTAATAAAATATTTCAAGTGCTGGCTAAGCTGTAAAGCTTAGGGCTGATAAACAAAGCATCTGAAGCCAAATGGCCCCTTAGCTAACCCCAATTAAAATAAAGATTTCATTGCGCTCTGTCCTGACAGAGAGGGAACATATTGTTGCCTTTAAGGGAGTTTGGTTTAGTTAATGAAAGAATTTATTTCATTTTTTCAAATACGGAACCTAATTAAATAAGTTTCAACTTGACTTGTAGTTGAGGACATTTTAACTCCTTAAAGGTTATTTTCGTGTCCAAGTGTAGCACTCTTTTGAATAATTTCTGATGTAATATTTAGTTTTGTGATTTATATAATAAATTTTATAACAGATCACATATGAGTAACTATATACCTGTTTTCTATATACATACATATATGGTTTTGATTCTAAAAGTGTAAAACTAGTTATTGATGTTACTCTCTTCAAGCATCCTATTTGATATTAAGTATTACTCAGCGATAGTAATTTATACTAGATTTTCATAAGTAATGTGGAAATGAAGGTGGCATGGTTTTGCTCTGAATGCAAAAGCTGTAAATTAGATATGTACATTGCTTTACATTGCTTACTCCTGTGGTTCAATGAAAAGGAAGGTGTATTAAGAATTATTTTTGGTGAAGCTCTCCAGCAGTAGTTAAAATCTGTATCTCTAGAACATTTTTTCTTAGAGAGGATTAATGGTGAAAATGAAAGCCATTTGTAAGGATTACAAATGTCATTAGTTTGCCTTTCTTCAGGATCCGTATGTACTTGTATAGGTAAAGCTCATGCCCCATTTGTCAACTAAGAATTTATTACATATTCTTCACTAAGAATATATGAAAAATAAATAACACTTTTGTCTAGAGATGCTTTCTTCTTACATCTTGAAAACATTTTATACTTAACACTTGAAGGCAGACAAAGAATGAAAATGCTATCGCTTATGTTAATTTCTTGCCTAAAATTTAAAAAATGTTAAATGGCTGCTGTGTCTTTGGTAATAAAATCGTATGAGACGAGTTACAGTCTCTATTGAATGACAGTGAGTAATGCTGTTTGCCTGAGTTGTTTATACTTTGTCAGTGTGGTAACTGTAATTAAAAGCACCTGAGCAGCATTATTCAGAAAGCGGTGCGTTCTTTTAAATTACTTATTACAGAAGCTGAATCTAATCAGGGAAGTTCATGTCTAAGGTAAATAGTTTTTAATGGTAACAGGTATGTAAATATTTTTGCCAAACATATCTATGAAACTATAAATACATATTGTTTTGGAGCAGTGGCTTTCCAATTAATAGAGAGTTGTTCTTGATCAAAATTTTAAAAACATACATATGTTGCATCCCCTCATTTGGGGATTTTAAGCTAGCGTTTGGAGTGCGTGTTCTCTTCCAAATGTCACTTATGCGTTCTCCTTTACATGTTGAATAAATTGCATTCCAGCTCTCTTAAAATGAGTTTCCAGGGTGAGCAAAGAAGCTGTCTCTGATAAAGGACTATTGATTTCCCTAAGTCAAAATTATTCCCAAGGCTTTTGGCCACTTTTGTTTCAGGTCTGTATGATGCTGGATTTGATTGTTAGCTGCAACTATGGGGCTAAATGATGTTCAGACAATTTCTACCTGTGTGAGGAAATAAATTAATTCTGTTTACAGATAAGTGAGAAAATACTTGGTGGTTTGGGGGAGGGGCTTGCAGGGGCTTTTTAGTTGAAAAAGAGTGTTCTTTGATGTGGGGGTGAACATGAATTAAATTAAGGTCTAGATGGTACTGGAGTCCTAAAAATCTCTTTCTTACTTGGCGTATGTTACAGATCTTGAGATACCTGAAATGCAGTGCCGTTCTTTTCTCTTCTGTGAATTTCCGTAGTTCATTATAATTAAGATGTGTTCCAGAAATCTCATCAATAGTTGCCAAACATAACCAAAAATAAAGCATTGCATCTAGCCAGAGTTCTAGATATCCTCACTCTGCCCTAAAGCTATGTTTCCCATCCATTATCCTTGTCATAACTTATTGAGCTCAATTTTAATTAAATTTTAGTAGCAATTTTGCAGTCATAACTGACATGAAAGTTTTCTGAAGACTATTATACCCACAAGATATTTCCCTTACATGTTTTGTTTTTCTTGTTTCTTGTTTTTCATCATGTCCAAATTCTGTTCTTTGGAAAAGTCTTTGGTGACTGAGAGCATGAAACACAAAATGGAGAAAATGGTATAGTGACTTGACTGACAAGTATCAGTTTACGGCCAGAAATAATCAATTGCATTTTGTATTCATTGGGAATGTTGATTCTAATAGTCCTTTAAGAAGTCTTAAAAACTGATACATTTGATACAGATCTTGGGTTTTATTAAATTTTGCTTATACTCAGTATAGTGTATACACTGAGTATTCTACACTTAGGTTTCAACATAGAGATGCTGAATCTTTAAATACAAAAACTGCTTTTACTTTGATATCCCAGAGTCTGAAAAGTCACTTTTTATGCTTAAAAAAAAAGAAAAATAGTTGGATCATCAGTCCTTATTGCTGTATAGGAAGCCCTGTAATATTAATTGGTTGTCATATCCCTAAGAAATAATGGATTAACATGCTTGATCGTAATGCCCTGTTTAGAAGCTGAAGTTTGCTGATGTCCCCAGCCTCTCTATTTAACACAATTACAGATGTGCATTCAGGACATTTGAGTGGATTGCATTTCATTAATACAATTCGAGCAGACAATACTAAGTTGCTGTTGGGCCTGCTCTGACAGCTAATTACTGAAATGAAGTGTGTACATGGCTAAGAAACAATGGAGCACTTGTCAGGAACATTAAAACACTGCAGAAATAGTGCCAAATCTTGGAGTCGCTCCTCTGAACAGTTTTTCTTGTCTCTGCAGACCAACTTTGGGACATACGTGATTGTGGTGGTGGGTTAGACTTCAGGGAAGCAAAGTTTGTTACTGTTCACTAAAATGCAGTATAGTTCTGTTTTGCCCTTTCCTCTGTTGAATTCAGATGCTTGTATGTACTTAAGCCGATTGATAAACACACTTACCTCTTGCTTACAGACATCATGGCACATTTTCCCCCATAAAATGTCTAATCTGTTTATTGGAATACCAGAGATACTGTGAATGTCTGACAATTTGTAGCATTATTTACAGGAAGAGCTCTCCCTAACAATTTGAAGGAGGAGGATAGGGAGTGACTTCTCATTGTCTCTTCCTGTACAAAAAAACCCCACGGGCGATTAAGTGAGGTTTGTAACAGCAAAGATTCGAAATAAACAAAAAGGAGCTATTCTTTCTACAACAGGTAGTAATCCTGGCAAGCACTTTATCAAGGGATACTAAGGAAGTGTGTGTTGGTTTGGGGGAAGATTGGAGAGATACTTGGGAGAGACCTCTGTTTGGGTTCATTTAATACCCAAGCAACAGCAGACTCGGTAAATTTCTTGAGATGAAGATCTTGGTCTGATAGAGTCTGAGGGGAGAAAAAACATTCAATCTTTCTACCTTCCTGGTCTTTCCTGAACATCTGCTTATGACTACGTTGGAGACAGAACAACAGGCTTTTCTTGTGATCAGTTATGGCCCTTGTGTTCTAACACTGTGGTTTTCAACTCTTGTCATTTAGGTTTTTTTGTTTATCCTGTATTTGGGTATCAACCACTGGAAATGAGATGTTGCTAGAGAATTATGTAACTTGGCATAAAGTAAAATAAAAAGCAAGAACTTCCTTCAGATGCTGGGTAGACAAGGCTGTCCCATCCCATCTCAATTTCAGGCATTCTGAGGTATTTTGGTAACAGTTGTCTTTTAGAAGAGGTGATGTTTCTGTTTAAGAAGTTGTGCTACACCTTTGGCATTGAGCACTTTCTATACCTATTGAAAACTTCTGGTGCACATGACGTTCTGGAGTAGAAGAAGCTAAAGCTACAGTGTGTTCAATAGTGGGGAAGGGGGCTTAGCTCAAGGCTTTTGTAAAAACCTGTTGTTACCCAATGTGTTTTTGTCTTTAAGATATATCCACAGAATTGTTAAACATAATATGATGGTGGCTACAAAGCATTTTTATCATCCAATTCAACTGACTTCTGTATTGTTGCAAGAGAAGGTGCTAGTTATTATCGGAGATTTTTTTACTATTAATGTCAAGAGAAGTCTTGGATTGCCAGTGTAGTTTAGCTAGATGTGTGCGTCCGTATCCCTGATTATAATGGGAGCCAGCGCCACCTCTGAGCAGCTCACGTTACTCAATCTGTCCTTCTCCAAGTCCACGGGTCACGTGGAGACATTTAATACAAACATTATTGTATTAAGTACACTTGAGCCTTTATTACCTCAGTGGTACTTGCTCATCTTTCTGGTGTTGCAAGGCATTTTTCTTTTTAACCCTTAAACATTTCAGTTAGTAAACAGACACAGAGGAAACTATGGTGTGGTTTTTTTAATTCCAATGAATGAAATAAGTGACAATAAGGATCAGCTAAATATGCTGATTTAATCGTATTTGCAATCTGGTGACCTATACAAAATTGCAACTTAGTTTTTTGGCCAGTATGAAAATGCACCTTTTAAAATGTACCACTTTTAATAACTCAAGGGTTATGACTAAGGTGCTTGAGAGATTTTGCTTTAGTGTTCATTCATGAGTAATTTGGGGATTTACTACAAGCCATACCATCAGGCAGTAAAATAATTGCAGTAGAAAAAGACTGTATTTCTTGTTGAATTTGAATTGAATCTAAAAATTTTTGATTCAAATCTGCTGCTTCAATTGGAGAAAAAAAAGACAGTAGCAGGTTGCCAGTAAAGGGTCTGTTCTGCCTGATGAACTCAAAAATTCATGTTGAGGTGCTGGAATAGTTTGCCATTCTTGCAATTCATTTTACAAAACAAGTTTCAGACTGAGCTCTGCTTTCATGTATTCTCTCTCCATGGAAATTATGTCCTTTTTCTCATTTCAAATTAGATGAGTACAAAGAAATCCTTATTTTACATATTTATTAACAAGGCTTTCATCCCTGTGGTATTGTAACTATCCTCACTACTTTATGCACAGAAATTGCAAGGAGAACTCACAAACCTTTAGGAGGTATATGTGATCACTCTTTTTCAAGCGTTATTGCTCATATCTGTATTCTTGCATGTTGCTCCACCAGCCGTTATTTACTGGTCTTCCTTTCCAAACACAGTTGATGGCATTGATCTATTTTTTTTTTCTTAATTCTGAAATAAATCGCACTGTAGGCCTCATGCCAAGTTCAAATCTCTTTGGATGTCCATTGTTAGACAATGGATGAGTGAAGAAATGATGTCACTCCACTGTCTGGCATGTGGAGGGTTAAGGGAATTTTTAGCCTCACCAAAAAGTATTTGATCAGGTACTCAGGTGCTGGAAATTTTCTTAGCAACACCAGTCACCTAGGAACATGATCATCTGCTGTTCTGGGGTAGAGATTACAGAGCTTAATGATTAGCTACTATAAGCTGCAGCTGATGCCAGACTCTACCCCCTTTACACCTAATTAGCCTCATTAATGAGCTCTTCTGCTCTCCACAGAGAGGGCTTCCTCCTTGGAATAGGAGGCAAAAATACTTCACCCAGGTAGATGTGCTGAAACCTTTAATTATTGCCCACACCTGCAAAGCGTTGTGTCTCTGACAGCAATATTGCTTAGCTGAAATTGTGCTTATTTACAGTGACCACAGTACAAAGTATTAACTCTTTAGCACCTTAGGAATTGTTTTTAAGCTTCGAAAGTATTTATGTAGTGTGTAAATCTAAGCACTCAAATTTTATGCTTAATAAAGCTGGGTGTATTTTGTGAGGGGGTTTTTGTATGTGACAAAAATGCTTTTAAAAGTTCCTGAGTATTTTGTTTAACCCAGAAAAATGAGTTTAAATTGCTGTTGAATGTCAAATATTGCATTACCAGAACTAAGAACACTATTAGGCAAGTTTCATTCTTTAAATGAGCAACTTTTGCATTTGGAGCAATGTAATTTTGTACTGCTAAAATTAAAATACGGAAAAATATGCATGTAGTAATCAGTGTAGCAGACAATAACTGAGCTAATGAAGCGTTCTGGTGTGATCCTTGGCTATAGCAATTATTGGTAAATATCTACTACATTCCAGCCTTGAAATTCCTTGAAATTTGGTAACGTTGTGTTTGTTTTATTGTTTATTTGTTCCAACGCTAAAATAGCTATGTAACACTTATGCACCTGCATTTGGGTCAAAGCGATTATGCCTATGTAGAGCGAATCTGTGTGTACGTTTATCAAACTCACTCAAAAGGCAGCTCAAGTCAGTGCTTATTCTAGTTTTTAATAGGGAGAGTTCAAAATGCGAGTTTCTCAGTGCAAATACTTTGTTGGTTATTTGGTAACTTTTTCCACAGTAGCTAGCTTGC